AAAGAGGAAAACAAATGACACAACCCAAAACTGCTAAGATTGAAAATACAATGCAAGAACACCAAAACGAACGTTAAAACAAAAACAAACTGTAAAAAAAAAAAAAAACAAAAAAAAAAAAAACAAACAAACTATACAATAACTAGAAGTTTAGAACGAAGGAAATGACGTTAAAACAAAAACAAACTGTAAAAAACAAAAAAAAAAAAAAACAAAAAACAAAAAAAAACAAAAACATAAACAAACAAACTATACCGTACCTAGAAGTCTAGAAAGATTGAAATGGAAATGATTAGAGGAATCCTACACTACCTTAATTATTAATCCTAAAAATATGCCTAATAAAACTATTCTAATTAAATCTATGGAAGGAAAATAAAATCATTTACTAAAAAACCCCTACCATGCAAAAAGGAAAGAAAATAAAATAAAATTACATCCACACATCTAAACAAAATTCACGCCTAGGATTAAACCTCACGTCCTAAGGATGAGTACTCATTTGATCCTTAATCTATATATATATATATATATATATATATATATATATATATATATATATATATATATATATATATATATATATATATATATATATATATATATATATATATATATATATATATATATATATATATATATATATATAATTTGGTTCCTGTGAGGTCAGGTCTTCCTTGCGGTCAGTGCGACAAATACCATTAGGTATGCATAAATGCACCATACAGTGTTTGAAAATACACCAGAATGAAATGTCAAAAAATACACCACAAAAAAAAAAATATACACCACACATAATGGTGTATTTACGAACACCTATGCATTTTTGCATACCTAATAGTGTATGCCGCACTGACCGCACGGGAAGACCTGACCTCACAGGAACCTGACCCTATATATATATATATATATATATATATATATATATATATATATATATATATATATATATATTAGTTTTCAGTGTCATCACTACTGCATACAATCGCGTTTTTATGTTCTCGGATTTCTGTTTTTCAACTCTCAAATGGATTGCATTTCTTCGAATGGCTCTGACAACCAATTAGTTGTTTTCTTATTCTTAACATGAGAATTTCTTTTTCTTTTCAACAAATATGTGTTTTGCGATATGTAATTCCCTTACATTGTATTTTCTCCATCTCCATCTCAGATCGCTCAAGTCAAAGATAGAAATTCTAAAGACTGAGGGAGAGCGTTCAGGCCAAGCAGAATCACCTGTTATTAAATTTTTTTTTTAATTTTTTATTCTATTTATTTATTTATTTTTAACAATTAGATAGACAACCTGCTAGCAACCTTTAAAAAATGTCAATTGAACAAATTTAACTAGTAGATGGGCCTATTTGACACTTAATTTAGTTCGTGGTGGAAATTGAGCACTTCGCAGTAGTAGATGAGTCTATTTGACACTTGTACGTGATTGCACTGCAATCAAACTGTTTGCATGGTTGAATTTATTAGATTATGGAAATTAGATAAATATGTAAATATTATTATTCTTAGAATATTTTAGATTAATTGTATTACCTTATTTAGTAATATAACCGTTGCCCATAATTGTATATATGAGGCTCAAGGCAAATCAATAAACTCAGGGAAAATAATATTTATTACATGGTATTAGAGCAACCCAGGTTTTTATTCCTTTAAACTTTATTTGTCATTTTCTTCCTCCCTGGGCAGCCATATCAATGGCAGACAATACAATTGGCCAAAACTCCTCTTCTCCCTCTCAATCTCAACCTACTCCTTCCTCCTCTCTTTTACTTCATCCAGCTCTCACCGTTTCTAATATCAATACCTTCATCAAGGTCACACTTGATATTGAAAAAGGCCAGTATATTACCTGGTCAGAACTATTCAAAATACATGCCAAAGCATATAAAGTTCTAGACCAAATCATTCCTCCATCCAAGGAGGCAGCGAAATTGGATTCCTCCCCATCTCTTAAAGACACGGATCCTGAACTCTGGTCAAGAGTTGACGCCATTGTTTTACAATGCATTTACGGCACAATCTCTGAAGATCTTCTGCATACCATTATTGAACGAAATTCAACTCGCGTGGAATAGGCTAGAGGACATTTTTTCAGACAATAAAAATTCAAGGGCACTCTACCTGGAACAAGAGTTTTCTGCGGTTCGGATGGAGAAGTTTCCAGATGACTCTTCCTACTGCCAGCATCTAAAAACACTAGCATAACAATTATCAAATGTTGGCGCTCCTGTATCAAACAACAGGTTAGTACTTCGACTTGTCTCCGGTTTAACTGATGCATGTGCTACCGTTGGAACACAAATTCGACACGACGACCCCATTCCCCTTTTTTTTACAAAGCCCGATCCATGAATATCTTGGAGGAAACAACGATGGCGAAAAAGGCTGCTAACCCCTACGATTCCACTGCTCTTCACGCGTCTGCCGATGATCAATCTGCCAGAAATTATGGGGAAAATCGAGGAGGTCGCGGTGGCAGAAACAACGGCTTTGTTTCACGCGGTGGCAACTCTAACCGTGGTGGTAGCTCTGGTTCTCGAGGCGGCCACTCCACAAATCGCGGCGACAGAAGAGGCGGTCGCCAATCTCCCGGCAGGGGCAGAGGAAATCGTGGTGGCCGACAAACACAATACCAGCCGCACAACACATTCTGGCAGAACGCTAATTAGCAAAATTGGTCTTATCCACCCATGTGGAATGGGCCATGGCAACCTTGGGCTACTCCACCTTGTCCATATCCTACCACACCAGCCCAATGGCAAAGAAATCAACCACCACTAGCCTCACAATCAATACTTGGACCAAGACCATCCCAAGCTCACTTGGCATCAACAAATTTGGGCCAATCTTCGTATACACCAACTGATATTCAACAGGCTATGCATACTTTCTCAATTGCCCCTCCTGATGATCAATGGTACATGGATACAGGAGCTACATCTCACATGACTTCAAATAGAGGTAACCTTACATCTTATTCTAATATGAATAAAAATAAAATTATTATTGTTGGTAGTGGTGATACAATTCCAATTAGTGGTTGTGGCAATACTTTTTGACCAATTCCTCATCCTCCTTTAAATTTAAATAATGTCTTGCATGTTCCAAAATTGATTAAAAATCTAGTCTCCGTAAGAAAATTCACTACTGATAATGATGTCACAGTTGAATTTGATCGTAACGGATTTTCTGTGAAGGATTTTTAGACAGGGATGCACTTAATGAGATGTGACAGCACATGAGACTTATATCCAATTACTACAAGGCCTTATTTTCACACATCAACACCCTCTAATTTTGCCGTGTTATCTCCCCAACTATGGCATAACCGACTAGGGCATCCGGGAGCTCTTATTTTAATTTCTTTACGCCAAAATAATACTATTATTTGCAATAAATTTCGGGGAATTTTTTTTTTTTTTTTGTGATTCTTGCTCACTTGGGAAACAAGTTAAATTACCTTTTTATGACTCATTATCCTTTACTTCATTTCCTTTTGATATTGTGCACAGTGACCTATGGTCGTCACCTACCCTAAGTTCGGGTGGGCATCGTTATTATGTTTTATTTCTTGATGATTTTACAAACATTCTATGGACGTTTCCAATTGCTAACAAATCTCGGGTATATTCAATCTTTCTATGTTATCGTACTTATATCAAAACCCAGTTTGAAAAAGAAATAAAATGTTTTCAATGTGATAATGGAACGGAATATGATAATAGGCCCTTTCACAAGCTTTGTAAATTAAATGGTATGAGTTTTCACTTTTCTTGTCCTCATACATCTTCTCAAAATGGAAAGGATGAAAGGAAAATTCAAACAATTAATAATATTACTCGAACTCTTCTTGCACATGCCTCTCTACCTCCTTGGCACCATGCACTACAAATGGCCACCTATTTACTCAACATTCTTCCCAATAAAAAGCTTGCTTATCACACCCACAAAAATTCTTTATCAAAAGGATCTCCCTTATTCTCATCTTCGGATTTTTGGATGTTTATGCTATCCATTAATTCCATCCACTTCACGTAACAACTTGCAAGCCAGATCATCACCTTGTGTTTTTTTGGGATATCCGACAAATCATAGAGGTTATAAATGTTACGACTTATCAAGTCGAAAAATAATCATTTCAAGGCATGTAACTTTTGATGAAAATACCTTTCCCTTTTCCAAATTACATGCTACTAATGTCTCCACTTATGAGTTTTTGGATGCAGGCCTATATCTTAACCCGTACTTATCTCACGGCCTAACTCCAACTCTTGGAGTCAAGGACCAAAATATATCACCTATTCATTCTCCCATACAATCTCAGCAAAGTTCAGCGCATTTTCCCTCTCATGAGATAACCCCACAACAATACACTTCTCCTACACCCGCAACACCATTAGGAAATAGATCATCACAGTCCAATCTTTCATCTCGGCCCACTACCTCGCCTCAACCCACACCTTCATCATCTCCAAACTCTTAGCCCACACCACCAACTCCACTAACCACCAATCAATCTACCCAAATAAGTCCACAAATAAATCACACTCATTCTCCTCAAATGACCACAAGAGCGCAACATGGAATTTTTAAACCTAGAAAACTCTTCAATCTTCACACCGCTACTACGACCTCCATATCTCCCCTACCTATGAACCCAATACATGCTTTAAAAGACCATAATTGGAAAATTGCTATGAAGGATGAATACGATGCTTTAATTAAAAATAAGACGTGGGACTTAGTGCCCCGTCCATCCAATGCTAATATTATTCGAAGTTTGTGGATTTTCAGGCATAAAAAAAATCTGATGGTTCATTTGAGCGGCACAAAGCCCGCCTTGTAGGAGATGGTGCAGGACAACAGACTGGCATAGACTGTGGTGAAACTTTCAGTCCGGTGGTAAAACCAACAACCATTCGTACAGTACTTAGCATTGCAAAATCTACCACAAGAATCCTTAGTTAGAGTGGGATTTCAAGTCAGCACCTTTTGATTGAGATTTTGAGAAGAGTTGCTCTTTGGAGAGCACAGTACGATGAAAGTTGTATGCTGTGTTCGGGGGGGAATTATTGTCTATCGTTGGCCTCTATGGTAGAATCAGTCGGGGACCTGAGAGGCGGTGGTTTACCCTGCGGCGGATGTCAGCGATTCGAGTCCGCTTATCTCCAACTCCTGAACTTAGCTGATCCAAAGCTTTATGATAGGACCCAATTTTTCCGATTCGGCGGTTCGATCTATGATTTCTCATTCATGGACGTTGATAAGATCCATCCATTTAGCAGCACCTTAGGATGGCATAGCCTTAAAAGTGAAGAGCGAGGTTCAAACGAGGAAAGGCCATGTATTAGATTATGGAAATTAGATAAATATGTAAATATTATTATTCTTAGAATATTTTAGATTAATTGTATGTATTATTCTGTACCTTATTTAGGAATATGACCGTTGCCAATAATTGTATATATGAGCCTCAAGGAAAATCAATAAACTCAGGGAAAATAATATTTCTTACATAATTATTCTTTTGCAGGGAGTTCAAGTATCATAGGACATATATAGCTAATTTGGTGGTTGGAGTCCATGATGAAGTTTTTTCTGCACAGCTCTTTAGTTTTCCATTATTTTTTGGATGTATATTATAGGTTTGAGTTCTATAATATTATAAAGTATTGAGAAAATGTACTTCTGATAATTCTTATGTTTTGTTAATAGATTATTATATGTTTGAGTTGTATTGTAATGTATTGAGAATATGTACTCTAAACTTTAAAAAGTATATTACTAATTATTTCTTTACTTTGAAAATACCTTGACCAACTATATATCCTATACATTGTTGATTTGCAGCCTATGATAAGTTTAAATATCTGCAAGTAACAACTCAAATTTTATTAAACTTTCAATCTCATATAATTTATCAAAAAAGTCTTTTAATATTTTTTTCAATTTCATATAATTTGTATTGAAATTCATATATATGAATATAAAAAATATAGGAAAAAATGCAGGGTTTTTCATTAGTTATAGACAAACACTTGTAATGTCTTCTGCCAATACTTAAGAATTGTATATAACACAAATACACTACATGGTAAATTAGTGTTTATGCTAAATAAATACAATTTATAGTTCATAAGACTGTATTAAACAAAGTGAACATAAAAAAATAAAATTCTCACTTCTTCTTAGGTTAACTAATTAACAGAAATTTATTAGTAATACCCAATATATATTTATTAACAATATATATATATATATATATATATATATATATATATATATATATATATATATATATATATATATATATATATATATATATATATATGACTTTAAACTATATATAAGATTCCAGGTTTCAAAAAATTGGTACAAAATGACAGAAACTAAAAGTCATATTGTCCTATATTAATTTTTTGAGAAATAACAGTGCAAAATATGAATACGCAACACAATTAAATATGAATATGCAACACAATTAATAATCATAAAATAATATGTTGGACTTTAAACTATAAGCTACCATGTATTAAAAAAAAATAGATACAAAATGATAGAAACTTAAAACCATAATCTACATATTTTTTTTTCAACATTTAACACTGCAAAATGTGAATAGGAAACACAATTAATAAGAGAAATATAGATTATGGTTACAAGGTGCACAATGGATTGCTGAAATCTACCACCTGTGATGCTATTGAGAAATATAGATCACTCATTAGGACAGTGTAATGGTTACAAGGTTGGTTGATCATGTTTTGGAAGCTCAGATTATGTGTGGAACGAATGCAGGAATAAAGGTTTTAATTCCTCGAATGTCGTTAACACCTTCTGATTCAAGATTGCCTTTCAAGTTCCAAAGAAAACAATTTTCTTTTATGCTATCATATGTCATGGTAATAAATAAAAGTCAATGGCAAACACTATCACACGTGGGATTATTTTTTAGAAGGCCGGTCTTTAATCATGGTCAAATTTACGTAGTAGTCAAGAGTAAGTAAATTTAGGAGATTAAAAATTTTGATATGTGGGGATACTGTACCATCTGTAAGTACGACTAAAAATGTCGTATAGAAAGAAGTTTTAAATAATGGATAATCCAATTGCATCTATAATTTCTAATTAGTAATTAGAAACAAATGAAAAAATAAGAACATAGTCTGGGGGCGGATGTAGCTAAGTGGATTAAGGCGGTGGATTGTGAATCCACTATGCGCGGGTTCAATTCCCGTCGTTCACCCATCGCATCTTACTTAATGGTTAGGTGCCATTTTTGTAATGGAGCTCATAAGAATAAAATCATATATATGAAGAAAAAAAATATAGATAGATATGTTATGATATGGATCTGAATTGTGTTATGTGACATCAATTCGTTATGTATGGATGAGATTCCAAGGTCCTGATTGCGTGCATCCAGTAGGAATTGAACCTACGTGCATATATTATTTCATATGTCCGTACATCGCATATATTTGCCCACACGGGTCATTGTATGTTAAACCTTATTGGCTATTCTATTTAGTAGTGGTATTATAAGTTTTTAATTAAGATGATTAATTAGAGTTGTTAGAATTAATTTTCATTTGGACCATGTGATGCTAAAATGAGTGGAAGATATGCATTGTCAAATGAAAAGAAGAGTCATCAGCAGCGCACAAATGAAGGCTTCTAACAAAAACATGTGGCCTGGAATAAATGAAGGTGTGAGATGCTGACTTTAAGGATCATGGTAATTCATACACACTACTATAAAAGGAAGCTGTTCGAAAGAGGAAGATTGCCAATTTTTTAGAGATCAATATTTCAAGAGCACAGTTTATTACAAAGCTTCCTGATTTAATCTGATATGTTATTTAATTGTTAAGAATATTCTATATGTAATTCATGATCTGTACGTGGTACTGCTGAAGCATCTTGTGAAGATTGTTCAGGCATTTGTGTGTCAGTCCTGGATAGGTGTTAGAAAGAGTGGTAGTGGTAAAGGCTGGAGGCCATTTGTATTTACCTCTTGTAATACTCCTTTTGGTGAACATCTATAGTGGATTGGGCAGACGTGGAGTGCCCCGCAGACGTAGGAGAAGGAGCTCCGAACTGCGTAACAATTTCTTTGTGTTTTTACTTTTTTTTATGCTTTCTGTCTTCATTATTTATATTTCTTTAAACAAGATTAATTAATGAATGTAACTGGTGCTTAACTTAAATACAAGTAAAAATACATTATTTTTTTTATTTCAAGATTCACGGTGCAATTTCAATCGGTATCAGAGCCTGTAGACTTAATTTATTAGTCTATCGATCTGGCGATTCTGTGCCTCTTGAATTCATCTCTTCAGCGGCTCTTATTATTTATCTGTTTATTGCTTATATGTTTGATCTCACGGGGTGTTAAGTGTTACAGAATGGATCGAACCAAAGCTCTTCCCCAGTTGACTGGCGACAACTACGCCTATTGGAAGGCTCGCACTCGTACGCACTTAAAAGCTCAAGGTGAAGCCGTGTGGCGGTCTGTGGTGTCAGGTTGGACACATCCCACCAAACCCAGTTCCAGCACAGACGGAACAGAAGTAGCTAAGCCTGAGACTGAGTGGACTCAAACAGAGATAACTAACGCATGAAACAATGATAAGGCTTTAGACACAATTTATTCTCTTATGCATGAAAGTCAGTTTTTAATTGTTGCAGGTATTCCTTCAGCTAAAGGTGCTTGGGAAGCTCTTGAGTCAACTTACGAAGGGACTACATCGGTGAAACAATCTAAGTTGCAACTGGTCCAGTCAGACTTCAAAGAGCTTCGAATGAATGAGGATGAGACAATCATCGACTTTCACACACGCATACAGGAACTGGCGAATCGTGCAATGGTCCTTGGTGAACCATTCTCGCAACCAAAGCTTGTTAAGAAAATATTGAGATCCTTACCCCCGAGGTTCAGAATGAAAGTCACGGCTATTCAGGAACACGACAGCTGGGAGAACAAAACTGTTACTCAATTAATGGGAAATCTTAGAACCTATGAAATGGAAATTTTAACTGATCACACAAAAACGAAAAAACAAAAAAAAAATATAGCTTTTGCCGCTGAAGAAAATAATGTTGTATCTGATACAGACGAAACTAGTGATGATACAGTTGTCTTTTTGACTAAACAGTTTTCTAAAATTTTGAAACAGGTATCCAAAATTCACTCAACAAAAATCCACAAAGAGGAGCAACATCTTCCAAAGCTGGTCCTAGGACAAGTGCATCAAACTTCAAACAGTCTGTCTCACGTCCAGGACAGTCCAAAGAAAAACCCAACAATAAAGGAATCAAGTGTTATGAGTGTGAAGGCTTTGGACATGTACAAGCTGAGTGTGCTACCTATCTTCGGCGCAAAAAATCTATGTCAGCCATTACCTGGAGTGATGACGAGCCTGACGTTGAAACAACTGGATCGGATGTCGAAGAAATCTCGGGTAACTTTGTTGCATTTACGGCACGTGTTAATGGCTGTTCAGAATCCGTTAAAGAAGCTGACTCAGAGGGTGGTGAATATGTCTCCGCAGAAGACTTGGTACTAAATACTTTATCTTTTGAAGCTGAGTTTAATAAGTTGTATCCCAAATGGGAAGCCCTACGAAAAGTAAACTGCAAATTAGCTAGTGAGATAGAGATTGTAACCAATGCTAGTAAAGTATATTAAACTCAAGTAGCAGATAGGAATGTTCTACTTAAAGAAGCAGCTGACCGAGAAGAAAAACTACAAAAAAAAAAAAAAAAAAAAAAAGTACAAACTGGCAATGTACTACTGAAGGAGGCAGCCGACCGAGAAGAAAAACTCCAGCAAGAAGTACAGACCTTGAAACAGGAGCTCAGCACCTACAAACGACAAATCCAAATGATGGATACCACTTCAACACTTGATAAGATTCTTGATTCCGGTAGGAAATCTTCTGCAAAATTTGGTTTGGGATTCACTGGAAGTAACTCCAAAGATAAGACAGTATTTGTCAAAGCATCTGGACCTGATCTAGAGGACATCCCTGAATCCAGCACAAGGAAACGCTCCTATGGTAAAATAAGCGCAAATAAGCTCCATTATAAACTATATAACCCTGTTTGCCACTATTGCAGGTTACGAGGTCATACCAGACCTGAATGCTGCTACTTCTACAAGGATCAAAGAATCGA